TTTACTTTAGTTCTCAATGCTAAGTTTGGGGGGGGGGGCACTCAAATAAAATGCACAATTTATTTTTGCCACTTTTCATATTTAATAATCTTGTACTTTGCATTTTCCTTGCAAAGCCATATACTTTGTGAGGCAATTTAATAATATGAACATTCACCTCCATAGTAGAGAAATAAATACTAATATCTAGATAATTCAGTTGCCAGAAATGACTTCATTGCGGTTTCTCTAATTTGATGTTGAATATTTTTCAGATATTCTCTGAAAGTTCATGCGTTTAGAAAAACATCTGATACCTCTATTAGACACCCAATTGCATTTGATTTTGATATCTATCATCTCATAGTTATGTTTGGCATTTTTAACAACACGCTACCCATGACAGCAAGTGACATTTTACTGTGTTTCTATGTAAAACTATGAATGCCACACTCCCAAATTTTGGTATTCACTGTTTTCATCTTACAGATTGAGGCACTGAATATTCATTCAGCAACATGCTGTTGTGTAGAGACAGCAGTTGGGATCATACTCACTCCCAAGTCTCCATACATTCAACAGAAGATGATAGCTCAGAGATTGCATGCAAGTATAGCTGTAAGTGTCTGCACAGCAAAGGATCCAAAGTCTTGACCTTCAACCTGGCTTGAAATACATCTACGAACACAACACATTAATCTTATATTCAGTTCTTATGAAAAAAATATGTATCAAGGTGCAGAGCAAAAATTCTCCAACAGGAGATCAGAAAGCCAGAGTTAATTCTTTTTAAATCTATTGGACTATTTAATTATATGGTTAGCAAAGTGGATTTGTTGCTCAAATAAAACCTATAGAATCATAGAGTTGGAAGAGACCTCGTGGGCCATCCAGTCCAACCCCCTGCCAAGAACCAGGAAAATTGTGTTCAAAGCACCCCCAACAGATAGCCATCCACCCTTTGTTTAAAAGCCTCCAAAGAAGGAGCCTCCATCACACTACGGGGCAGAGAGTTCCACTGCTGAACAGTTCTCACAGTCAGGAAGTTCTTCCTAATGTTCAGGTGGAATCTCCTTTCCTGTAGTTTGAAGCCATTCCTCCGCGTCCTAGGCTCCAGGGCAGTAGAAAACAAGCAAGAAAATCGCATTCAAACCACTATATATGAGTGCTTCTTATCCTCGTATTTTTCTGAGTTAGTTGTAGCTAATTGAGGAGGCAAATGAAGTCTTCTTGGGGAAGACTGTTTCAAAAACTGGAAAATACTGCATCTAAATTCTTTTTAACATTGGATAATAGCAACCATTACTATTGTGCCTGAGTTTGGAACAGCACATACTACAAAAGGTGATCAAATTATGAACCTCACTTGTTTTTGCTCAGTTTGTCCAGGACTTCACCTCTTTTGCTTGGAACTTAGGCAGCTGCGCTGGTTGACACAGCTGCTAAATTATGCTTATTTGGGCTTCTGAATCCAAGCCAAACTCTCATTATATGAAGAGGACTGAGTGAGTGTGTAATCATTCCTCAAACTGGAGGATGATTTTTGATTAGGTTCTCATTGCTGCCTTAATTGCAAAAAGGAGCTGTTAATAGTGTTTACTTTGCCCTTTAGAAAATATGTGAGCGATCGCAGCTAATTCAAAAGCCAGTATTCTATTGTTAATTTCCACTAGAGTACTAAATCAATAGGATGTACATATGCAGGTTGATCATCTCTTGTCCAGAATTATCCTTATCTGAACGACTTCAAAATTCAAACTTATTTGTGTGAGTGGTTGAGATAGACCTTTACTTTCTGATATTTCAATGTGCGCAAATTTTGTTTTGTGTACAAAACTATTTTAAAATATTGTATAAAATTACCTTTAAACTATGTCTACAAAGTGTATATGAAATATAAATGAAGATTTTTTTTAGACCTCGGTCCCATCTCCAAGATGTATAGGTATGCCAAAATCTAGAAGAAAATCCCAAATCCCAAATACTTCCGTTCCTGATCATTTTGGATATGAGATACTCAATCTGTAGCATGATTTATAATTAAGCACATGATTCAATGCATCTATTCTACTTGGGATTTCAAACTACAGTCTTTCTTTTGCCTAACAGAACAGTGGCTTCTCATCATCGCTGAGTAACAATATATACAAACTTACACAGTTCCCTTAAGGTTGATGCTTTAAAGGATGCTTTGAAGGAGCCAACATTAAGTCTCACATCACCAGCATGAGGCGAAGTGTCTATGCTTTACAATTACCTGAAATATTTGAGACACCACTCATGAATTAGATTTGGATCCTGGGCTTTAGAAATGACCATTAGAAATACTTAGAGATCAGTTAGTATAAATGTATTTGATTTCATAGAATCATAAAGTTGGAAGACAGTACAAGGGCCATCCAGACCAACCCCCCTGTCATGCAGGAACACACAATAAAAACACTCCCAACAGATGGCCATCCAACCTTTGCTTAAAAGCCTCCAGAGAAGGAGATTCTGCAACACTCCCAGGCAACATATTCATCTGCTAAACAGCTCAAACTCCAAGGAAGGTTTTCCTAATGTTTAGGTGGAATCCCTTTTTCTACAATTTGAATCCATTGCTCTGTGTCTTAGGCCCCTTCTACACTGCTATATAAAATCCAGATTATCTGCTTTGAACTGGATTATATAGCAGTGTGGCTTCAGGGTTAGTGTGAACAGCTGGGGCAGGCCAGTGACACCATCCTCTATTCCCTGTGAATCTATTGATAAAGAGAACTCCTAGCCTTTATTTATTTATTTATTTATTTATTTACTTTATTTGTATACCGCAGTTCTCAGCCCTTAGGCGACTCACAGCAGTTAACAACAGAACAGCAAAAATACAGTACACGGTAAAAAACAGTAACATCATAACACCTAAACAATCCTATATAATTAACAACAATAGCCATTCACTGGCGTCTCATCACTGAAAACATGATCCAAATCCGTCATCCATTGTTCCATTCCTATGTTCATTACACTCATTGCACTAACTATTTGAACGCCTGCTCGAACCCACACAACCTCGGGAAAGGAGGAAGATCACCTCCCTCCTCTTCTCATGTCGCATGGGAACGTTTTCTGATGTCAGCAAAGACGTCTGGCAATGGCCAAGACCTCTCCCAACTACCGTGGAGTCAAAAACTCCAACTTCTTTGGAGTGACTGAGAAGGCAAGGCAATATAAGATTATAAGGAATAAGCATTAATTACATCTGCTTAATCATGTATAATCAGAACACTTGTTTTTGATAGAGGTCAGCAGTCCAGCTTCTAACTAGAGTTAATTATAGGGTGCACATGATGCCCCTATTGAAGGAGCTCCACTGGTTGCCAATATGTTTCTGGTCCCAATTCAAGGTGAAGGTTATGACCTACAAAGCCCTAAACGGTTCGAGCCCTGTCTATCTTTATCGCATCTCCCCCTATGAACCAGCATGGACTCTAAGATCTTCCAGGGAGACCCTCTTCTCACTTCCACCACCATCACAAGCCTGGTTGGTGGCAATGAGGGAGAGGGCCTTCTCTGTGGTGGCCCCTTGACTTTGGAACTCCCTCCCCAGGGAGATTAGGCAGGCCCCCACACTGTCCTTCTTTTGTAGGGATTTGAAAACCTGGATGTTCCAGCACGTTTTTGAGAATGATTAGTCCCTAGGCCCAGTTCCCAGGTACCCAGCTAGCACTCTGTCCTGCACTTCATCCACTTCCCCGGTCCTATGAATTCCTCTTTGTACTATCCAATGCCCAGCTCTTTTATAGTTGGCCACATCAAATTGTAACTCTGGCCATTGGTTTTGTTGAACTTCTACTGAGGGAGCTACAATGAAATGGATTTTTAATATTTTTATCTTTAGTGTGTTTTAACAGAATTTTATTAATTGTATGACGCATTTAGTTGTTATTTTGTCTGTTAAGTTGTGTTCTATTGTTGACTGTGTTTATCTTGATGTAATTGTCTGTATGGTTTCTTTCCGGCAATTGAATGTTTGCCTTACATGTTGGAAGCCAACCTAAGTCCCTTTGGGGAGATCGGGTGGTATACAAATAATGTTTTTTGTTATAATTATAAAATTACCCCACCCAATATGTTTTTAGTAAAATAAATGGGGGGGGGGAGAGGAATCTGAGGCATGGTGTGGTTCTGCAAGGGAACTAATATGGTGTCATGTCATTCACACTCCTGCTATAACCAATATTATTAGAAAGGTTGTATGGGGTATTCATTTCAACGTCTGACTATAATACCTTGGTCCAATGGTACCAGCAGTTTGGCTAACATTACTATTCAGTCTACGTTTGGAAAAATCTGACTACACAGAGCCACATCACATGGACATATAGAGATACCCCAATTCTAGACCTCATGCAGATATCATTCACAGACTTATCTTGACAGCAACCTTGACGAATATATAATTTATGTCACTACTTCAGGTCAAGAGCTGGGATGACAGAGACAATGCTCATTGCATCATCTTTATTAGGCCACTTGACATGTTTGCTGTTTTTGCCATTCCAATAGGAAGATGGAAAGATGAACTCTTTGAGCATCCAGTAATGTTTTGAAAAATGCATGAAAACACCAACTCTTCATGGACACTTGGTATATAATCAGCTGTTACCACCAATGCTATGGATTTTGAAGAGGCACAAATACATGGCAAAAGGCAGAAATGTGCCAAGAGGAAGGCATATCAAGCAAACCCTTATCATGACCACCTTCCATATGGAAATCTATGACCACAATGTGAAATATTGTGTGGGTCTAGCATAGGTTTTCACAGGCATTTACAAACCCACTGTCAAGACTCTACTTCTGCAAGACAATCATAGTCAATCACAAGTGATCACCCATGATAGTTTTATTTCTTTCCAATTTCTTCATTTGTTCATAAAATCATTTTTTTATTTTGCATGCTGATTAGACCCTTACAAATACAAACACAAACACAAATCCCATTTAATAACAATGCATCTTCCCCACCTACTACTTACAATAGACTTGGACCACTCTGAACACCCAAAAATGCATCTTCATGAATAGCACTTAAATATTTGTTCTTATTCAGGTGCCTGAAGGAAGAAAAAAGAATAATTAGCCAGTTATAATATTCCAAATTCTAACAGATTTCATAGTGTAGGATCAACAGTTACTAAAAATGTAGCTAAGTCTGTCTGGATATGAAGTCCACTTTATAAATTGCATATGGAATGTAAATTATAATTATAATGTAATTTTGATATATTATAATATAAAGTAAAGGTTTCCCCTTGACATCATGTCTAGTTGTGTCAGACTCTGGGGGGTGGTGCTCATCTCCATTTCTAAGTCAAAGAGCCGACAGTGTCTGTAGACACTTCCAATGTCATGTGGGGTCAGCATGACTGCATGGAGCACCATTACCTTCCCGCCAGAGTGGTACCAATTGATCTACTCACATTTGCATGTTTTAAATTGCTAGGTTAGCAGAAGCTGGGGCTAACAGTGGGAGCTAACCCGCTCCCTGGATTCGAACCACCGACATTTTGGTCAGCAAGTTCAGCAGCTCAGCAGTTTAACCCGCTGTGCCACAGGGGGGTCCTATATTACAATATATCATGTACTATATATTCAATATAAAATATGGTATACATGGCCATTACAAGTTTATTTCTGAAAGAAAAGAAAGGCAGAAGGTTTCCATATGAAACACGTGCTTTCTAAGTATGTATTGTATTATCCCAGAAATTGGAAACTTATGATCTTCCAGATTTTTGGAGAAAATATTCTTATCTTCTGGAAAGTCAATCTGAGCTCAAGTGTTTATACTTATAATGAAATGAATCAACTGTCCAGCAAACTGTGATTTGTTGCTTATATTTCTTGCACAATTTGTTAAAAACTACAATTGTCTCTATAATTTCCAGTTAATGCTTAAGATTAAAGCGAGGAAGCCAAACCCACCCTGGTTTAAACCGGAAAACTGGGGAATTATTATTATTATTATTATTATTATTATTATTATTATTATTATTATTTAAAATTCATGTTTAAAAACTGTCTGGGCAGGCCTGCTGGAAGAGATCGGTATATAGATGGTTTTTAAATTCTGACAGCTCATTTAGCTGTTGGAACTCTTCCAGCAGGTCTTTCCACAGTTTTGGGGCGGCCAATGAAAAAGTCCTCTGGGTGACAGTCACCAATCAGGTTCCGGCTGGTTGGAATAACTGCCTCCTGCAGGACCTAAGTATTCAGGGTATATTGTACAGGAGAAGGCTCTCTATGATTGTATAATTCTAAGTAATCCATAATGTCAATTATGATTATTTACTTACAAAGAATCTAACTTTGTTCCATTGAACGCATAGGCTTCTATTCTGGTGAAACCATTATTGTAGAGTTTTCTGTAGATAAAACAAAAATTACATCATTAGTAGTTGGTTAGATATAAATTGTTATGTTTTGACATTAATAATGGCTAAGAATTATTATATTCTTAGTTTAATACTGCAAGTGATTTTTTTGTCATCTGACACATTTTATTAATGAGAGCCAATGTGGTGTATTGGTTATGGATTATGTCTCTGGAGAACAGGGTTTGAATTCTCATTCAGTCATGAAACTCCACTGGGTGACCCTGCGTGAATTACACCATCTCAGTTTGAGAGGAAGACAAAAGCAAAACACTCAGAACAAATCTTGTTAATAGGGCAGCCTTAAACTGGAAATGACCCAAATGCACACAAAATTCTATTATACATTTAACCAGCAATTATATGGAAAATAATATAAAACTTGAAAGTAGAACTAGAAAGACAGAAAGTTTATGAAAGGGGTGCAAGCGCCCTTTAAATAATCATTTAAAGATGCAAAAAAGATTAATGCTAAATTCAAAAAGTGAAAGGTGAAAAATGTATATGATCTGAAGAGAAACCAGAGGAAATGAATTTAGCTTTAGATAAAACAACCACATTGGAGGAATTAGGTGGGGCTACTGATAAGGCAAAAATAAATAAAGCTCCTGGCCCAGATGGGTTTTCAGCTACGTATAAGGAATATAAAGAAGAATTGGCCCCAATCATACTATCAGTAATAAACAAACTGCTGCAGATAGGTGAGATTCCAGACTCTTGGGTGGAGGCAAATATAATTCTCAGATTAAACCAGGATAGTGAGGCGGAACAAGTGAAAAACTATAGGACAATCTCATTACTAAACTGTGATTATAAACTATTTGCAGAGATTTTAGCGAACAGATTAAAAAAAATCTGGTTAAGTAGGCTTCCTACCAGGCAGTAGTTAAATCATAATGTGAGAACTATTTTAAATGTAATGGAGGTAGCTAAACAAGATCCAAACAGAGAGATTGCATTGTTATTTTTTAATGCTGAGAAAGCATTTGATAATTTTCACTGGGAACTTATGAAAAAAGTCCTGTCCCAATATGGGATGGGCTAGCAATTTAGAAATGTGGTGGGTGCAATATACATTTCCATGCACTTTGAAAACAGAGTCTCATGGGGTCCCATGGAGGCCATCATATGACATAAGGGCACTCCTGGTAGGACTCCATGTGTCTCTGTTTCCTCAGCGCATGGAAATGGAGCCAGAGGTCCATCTTCAGGAGTCAGTTCTTACCCGACTCCAAACCTGAGAAGGCAGGGAAAAAGGGGTAAAAGATGGGGAAAGGATGTGGGATGGCTAGATATCCCAGAAGGTGGGGAAAGACAGTAGGAAATGGGGAAAGGCGGTTCCCTTCATTTTCCCCTGCTTTCCTCCTACTCATATGATGAAATCTTAAGAAAGGTTCAAAGCATTAAGTAACCAAAGTGAGAGAAGTAAATTAGTAAACATTTATTTAAAAAAATAGGATTCTGAAATTTCTAAGAGAGGGAAAAAGGTAATGAAAACCTCAGTGTTCATATTACCTCAATGTTTTTTTTTTGTGCTGTGTTAAATTTCTTAAACACATAATCATGGTACATTTTTGGTAACAAGGATGGCACAGGTATTTGAATTATCTATGTTAACTCTTCACTTATCAGCTATTTTTAAATGTTCATTAAGGTTAAACTTCATGATGGAGGCAACAAATGAGAGCAGAAAGTGTGGTGGACCAACATACATCATAAGGGATTCATTGCATAGCCCACGAAATGCATTTGTGGGTACTGAACTCATGGATGGATTATCAGCAATTTCCCTGTGAAAAAAGATGGAAAAGCTTTAGTAGTACAATAAAACAATACAATTTCAACATAATTCTGATACATCTGCATCAATCCACACAGTATTTATAGATGTAGGAAACAATATGTCTTAACATATATATTTTGGAATATATATATAATGAAACACTATCACACTAGTATATAAACCATATTATTGCTGTTTTTATTACTTGTATTCTTACCACCACCACTACTAGTATTTTGGCAACTGGAAGGAATCTTTGGCCAGAGTCATCCCAAATTATTTTGCTGCCTAAGATGGCAACCCATCTTAGCATCCACTGGGTGATACAAACTGGATCCCATGGAAGGCCATGGAAGTTGGTTGCTCCTGTGTTGGGGGAGCTGTTAATCTTCTCCAGATTTTGGACAGTTTTAAAAGATGCACTCCTGTTTGGGACCATGTTCCTGTACCATGGAAAGTTCCTATATATCTGAAGTAATACCTGTGGTGGAAGCACCTAACCAGGCATGGGAAACATTAACTACCAAGGCTTCAGTAGCAGACTACTGAAGCCTTATCTCCCTACATTTGCGGTTTTGCCTTTTGGGAATTTGATTAATCAAAGAACTGGTTTTGGTGAAGAGTTATTACTAGCCTGTATCCCAAGAATACCATCTCCTCCACTAGAATTCATTAAAATTCCAAAACACAACAACAACAAAAGGGGGGGGGGGCTGCCCTACAATACTAATTGTGTCATAAATTAGAATATCCAGCACACAAAAAAAAACAATCTCTCAGAAATCCCACTTGAAGTTAGTAGTTTGCACTGAAAAAAATCACCAGGTTTTCACCTGTATCCTCCACAGGCCTGAATCTAGTTCCTACACTTAACTAGAGTCGACCTACTGAATCAAAGGGACAAATAAAGGGAGATTTCACCTGAACATTAGGAAGAACTTCTCTGCCTCGGAGTGTGGTAGAAGCTCCTTCCTTGGAAGTAAATGAAATATTTTTATTTTGTTCACTTATATTCATATCATGAATGGAATAATCAGTTGGCAATTCATTTCCCCACCTGATCACTAGTATTTCATACAGTAAGATGTTCATGCATCTGAAAAAGACAATGCTGACCATTGTTGGCTCAGTATATCTGGGATGGTACATACTCACAGCAAAAAGTTCATATCCGTTGATTCAATTTTGGTGAGATCAGGAAAAACTCCAAGTCCAGTATTCATAATCACACTAAAACAAAGGACAAAGTAAAAAAAAAGAAAAATATGTTGTGCTGGAGTATACAGAATTAGCAAAGCTGTATCTGATGTGGAAATATCCCCCCCCCCAACCCCCACACCCCCCCCACACACAAAATCTATTTTTGAAATATAAAACATTTGACAGGCTTGATATTGTGATTAAGGAAGCAACCATGAGGAAGATGAATAAAGTTATCCCTTAGTATTGATTGGTTTTGGTTCAGGACCCCCTCCCCTGCCCCCAATGGATACCCAAATCCATGAATGCTCAAGTCCTATTACATACAATAGCTCAGTAAAATGGTGTCCCTTCTATATGAAATGAGAAAGAAAGTCAAGGTTACCTCTTGGTGGTATTTTCAAGCCACGAATGGTTGAAACTGTGGCTACAGAATCCATAGAGAGGGAAGGCCAATAAATTTGCAGCCATCCAGACTGTGCAGGGATAGCATTTCTCAAAGACTTTGCTTGAAGTACTTACAGGTTTTTTAACAATGGGAGATTGATAAAGGCCTCCGGATGTATGTAGCTTAAGCTTCTAGCGTTTCGGATTTCTCTGTTGAAGACATAACCAAATTTCCACAAGGAACATTAGTGTTTCTTGTTCTTATGTGAATCTCTACCTTTAGAGTTTGAGAAACACACAACCTTTTTCACAAACGAGCTTCATGAGGCTCTTGGCTTGTTAACAAAATAATAATGAATAATAAACTGGTCTCACTAAGAACAATCACATGAGCTCATTATTACTAAGATTTGGGATGCTGTGAGTTTTCTGGGCTGTATGGACATGTTCCAGAGGCATTCTCTCTTGACGTTTTGTCCATATCAATGGCAAGGATCATCAGAGCTTGTGAGGTTTGACCTCACAACCTCTGAGGATGCCTGCCACAGATGTGGGTGAAACATCAGGAGAGAATGTCTCTGGAACATGGCCATACAGCCTGGAAAACCCACATCAACCCAGTGATTCCAGCAAAAGCCTTTGACAACACATCAACTAAGATTTGTTTAGGGTTTGTTATTGTCAACATTAAGTTTCAGAAGTACTTTGTTTTAATTAATGCTGTGAGTGATCTTGTGTGCCATGCTGGGAGGAAAGTGGGATATAAATAAAATAAAATGAAACAAAAAGAATTGAAACCAATTACTAGTTTATTGACCACGGTTCAATTATGTTACATAGCACAACTTTGGCTTTCTTGTATGTCTTCTCAGTTGCAATAAAAATATTGTTACTTGGTCCTTTAAGGTCAAACACAATCTAATCAGGACAGGATGGAATTTTGAGCAGATGAAAAAATGTAAATCACTTCAATTATGAATTTAAAAAATAAAGAATATTAAATAAATGTGTTGTCGAAGGCTTTCATGGCTGGAATCACTTGGTTGCTGTGAGTTTTCTGGGCTGTATGGCCTTGTTCCAGAGGCATTCTCTCCTGATGTTTCGCCCACATCTGTGGCAGGCATCCTCAGAGATTCTGAGGTCTGTTAGGAACTAGGCAAGTGAGGTTTATATATCTGTGGAATGTCCAGGGTGGGACAAAGAACTCTTGTTTGTTTGAGGCAAGTGTAAATGTTGCAACTGGCCACATGATTAGCATTGAATGGCTTTGCAGTAACAAAGCCCGACTGCTTCCTGCCTGGAGACATCCTTTGTTGGGAGGTGTTAGCTGGCACTGACTGTTTCTTCTCTGGAATTCCCCTGTTTTTGAGTGTTGTTTTTTACTGTTCTAATTTTGGAGTTTTTAAATACTGGTAGCCAGATTTTGTTCACTTTCATGGTTTCTTCCTTTCTGTTCAAATTGTCCACATGCTTGTGGATTTCAGTGGCTTCTCTGTGCAGTCTGACATGGTAGTTGTTAGAGTAGTCTAGCATTTCTGGGTTCTCAGATAATATGCTGTGTCCAGATTGCTTCATCAAGTGCTCTGCTATGGCTGACTTCTCAGGTAGAATTAGTCTGCAGTGCCTTTCATGTTCCTTGATTCGTGCTTGGGTGCTTCCTTTGGTAGTCCCTTCATCAGTTTCCTGATGAAGAAACACAACCTACACACTATCTATAGACCCACTTAAAAATCCAACAAATGCTATATTCAGCAAAGGACAAGAGGGATCCTCTTACCTTTGTAGGAGTCTACTGTATACCATGCAGCTATGGACAAGTCTACATAGGAGCCACCAAACACAGCGCCCAAACACAGATCAAGGAACGTTAACTAACATTAAATTAACTAGCAATAAAACCAACTATATGGCAGTGTAGATGGAACCCAAGTTGTTTTGACTTATGGAAACCATAAGGCAAACCTATTATGTGGTTTTCTTGCTAAAATTTATTCAGAAGAGGTTTGCCATTTTTCGTTTTGAATTTGTGCTCTGACAATGTGTAAATGTCTGTGAAAAACAGAAGAAAATTATGTTCTCCTTTTAGGCTTTTAAAGAGTATTTGTCCAACCATGGTTGGGGACAACAATTTGGATGAGATGTTCCTTATGCTCTTTCTCCCAAGTGATTGTGAAAACCAGAACAGGTCATTTCACCCTTGTGATAGAAAAAAAATCCCCAGGTTTCTAAAAACATTTTTTAAAATATACAGTTTGTGCTGTTAGCCACTGACTGTACTTTACAAATAAACTTTGTCACATATCACCCTTAAATCTGAACAGCCCTCTATTGCTTGTGTTTTTCCGCCAGCTGTTTATGGTAATCAAAAGTAACTTTGAAACAAACTATAGTAATAATTCATAAATTTTATTTTAGAAGTGAATGTAATCTAAAAAGTGAATCTAAAATGTAAGGTAACATGAATACATCTAATAAAGAATTAACTTGTCCCGCAGTCAACCTTGCACTCTGGAGAATACTTACGCAGAAGCTACCAATCTCTAAATGTAATGAGGAATTCAAAAAGCAATTCTGATTAATGTACTTCAAAAGAGTTTTCTTTCATTGAATAACACCCTTCAGGTTAACTGCTATAATAGCCTAAATGTGCTAAAAAGCAGCAAATATGTCTGATCTTGGAAGGTAAGCAGGGTGATCCCTGGTTAGTACTTGAATGGGAGACCACCAAGAAATGCCAGATGTTGTAGTCTGTATTTCAAACCTTCTCTGAGTGGGTTACTGTGAGTTTTCCAGGCTGTATGGCCATGTTCCAGGAGCATCCTGCCTAAGGGAATTCTTTGTTGGGAGGTGTTAGCTGGCCCTAATTGTTTCTTATTGAACACCTCCCAAGAAAAGATTTGCCCAGTTAGGAAGCAGCCAGCCATTGAAACCACAAGGCTATTCAAAGCTATTCAAGGCAGCCAATTGCAACGTTCACACTTGCCTCAGGCAGACTAGAGTTCTTTCTCTCACCCTGAACATTCCACAGATATATAAACCCCACTTGCCTAGTTTCCAACAGACGTCACAACTTCTGAGGATGCCTCCCATAGATGTGGGTGAAACATCAGGAGAGAATCCTTCTGGAACATGGCCATACAACCTGGAAAACTCACAGCAACCCAGTGATTCCAGCCATGAAAGCCTTCGACAACACATTGACTATCTCTGAGTATTGCTTGCCCAAGAAAATGCTGTAAAATTAATTTGGCTGCCAAAAGTCAATAAGCAACTTGAAGGCACATATACACACACAGCACTTTGCTATGCACACAGTCAAGGTTTTAATGTTTTATAAATTCAAGTTAATTTTATATGTCTCCTACTTTTTGAATTAAAAGCGAATGTCAACCTACTATGTTTCAACTTTCTGATTGTGAGCATTTACTAAGAAAATAAATGAGAAAAAGTAGGATTATATAGTAGATTCTCATTTACTGGAACTCTCAAGCAACTAGCAAAAAGAACTAATACTTTGTATAAAAATTAGAATAAAATCTATTTTTAGCAGAAATGTTACATTAAGTTTGTCTTTATTTGTCCAAATTTGCTTTTAATTACTGCAATTCAATATTAATGTCAAGTCAATACAGAGTTTATGGTATGCTGTAATATGAAATATATTTTTAGTAGACTTTTTTTTTTAAAAAAAAAAGTAACTCTCAAGTCACCAGAAATTACATTTATCTAGTATCTACCAATCAACATAGGTGCCGGTTAACTGAGAGTCTATGGAACATTCTTCCCAAACACTGTCCAAGAAACAAATTTATGGACACCATACAAACCCTCATTCAGCCAATTCTGATCTCTTCCAAGGAAGTCTATGATATGCTTCACTGTAAGCTACCATAGAATTAGCCCAGAGGACCAAATAAATTCCTAGAGATGATATCTCTAGAAAATTTCTAGGTCTTCCAGAAAAACTCTATTGTGAGTACCAGAAGAACTCATTCATTTCAATAGGGTTCACTATTATGCATGGTTTTATGTTTCCACTATAAGCTCAGGATTTGGGGGCTATACTGGAATTATATTTAAATTACTGTGCTATATTATGGGGCCAGCAGATAAAGGGGCCTGCGGATAAATCTAATTTATCTAGGAGGACAGAAATGTGAACTTCTGTGTCAATTGTTATAAAAATGATTGTACATAAACTGGCTTCACAACCAGTGTTGCTACACAGAAGCACAGCTTGCAATTAGTCCCAGCATTAACTTTCCGTATTCTTAATGTTATAGCTTCATTCATTAGTTAATGCCCAAAGATGGCATTAAAATTATATAGATTGTATTTTACAAAATGACCACCAAGGATATTTCACATTGATCACATTTTTCTTTCTCTACTTACATATGCGTAACTTTGTTTAAACTGTTGAAAGACGATGCCTCCAGTACTTGTAGCACTGCATCAATGCTGATATAGCTAATAAGAAAGACAAAAGGGCAAGTCAAACAAAGCAAAACAGCAAGTCAAAAAGTAACTGCATTTGTGCAGTGCTCCCAAATGTTAATATTCCTTTACACTTTATTTTTTTTCATAATAGTCGTTATCAAATATAACTCTAAACTGTGGCTCAGTGCTCTGTAAACAAGTCTTAGACTCATAGATTTTCTCTGCTTTCCTTTTTCTCCATTCAATTGCAAAGGCATCAAATGTATTTGTTTCCATTTTCAACTAGATGTGATTTGTTGGTATATCTAATTTGGGATATTCTAGTCCAGTGTTTCTCAACCTGGATGTCAGGACCACGGGTCAGGGCGGGGGGTCGTGAGAGGGTGTCAGAGGGGTCGCCAAAGACCATCAGAAAACACAGTATTTTCTGTTGGTCATGGGGGTCTCTGTGTGGGAAGTTTGAACCAATTCTATCATTGGTGGGATTCAGAATGCTCTTTGGTTGTAGGTGAACTATAAATCCCAGCAACTACAACTCCCAAATGTCAAGGTCTATTTTCCCAAACTCCACCAGTGTTCACATTTGGGCATATTGAGTATTTGTGCCAAGTTTGGTCCTGATCCATCATTGTTTGAGTCCACAGTGCTCTCTGGATGTAGGTCAACTACATCTTCAAAATTCAAGCTCGATGCCTACCAAGCATTTCTAGTATTTTCTGTTGATCATAGGAGTTCTGTGTGCCAATGGTTCAATTCCATCATTGGAGAAGTTCAGAATGCTCTTTGATTGTAGGTGAACTATAAATATCAGCAAATGAGATTTCCCAAATGACAAAATCAATCTCCCCCAACCCCACCAGTATTCAAAAGTGGGTGTATTGGGTATTTGTGTCAATTTTGGTCCAGTGAATGAAAATACATCCTGCATATCAGATACTTACATTATGATTCATAACAGTAAGAAAATTACAGTTATGAAGTAGCAACGAAAATAATTTTATGGTTGGAGGTCACCAAAACCTGAGGAAACTCTATTAAGGGGTCACAGCATTAGGAAGGTTGAGAACACTGTTCTAGTCACCAGTTTGGACATAAACATTTTTGATTATTTAATTGAAAAAAAAACACAACCAAAATATTCCAATATATTCATCACAATCTCTCTGAAGCAGAAGTGAAAGGAAGCAAATGGATACATATAAACTTAAACCAGGCCCTTGACATCCCTGCTGGGATTAGATTTCAGGACCCCTACAAATACCTATATCAATGGATGCTCAATTCCCATTATATAAAATGGCATAGTAAAATGATGTCTGTTACATAAAATGGCAAAATAAATGTTTTGAGTTTTGGATATTTTATTATATTTTGGCAATAGGAATATTTTCCAGCTGTGGATGGCTCAATTTGTACTGCAAAATCCATGGGTACCATCCAGACTATTATTTAAGAAACCATGCGTACTGGCTTTGTTATATTTATTTTGTGGTATACTGCCCAGCCTATATAATTGCTACACCACCCTTGCATCAGGGATACCGACAAATTTATATGAGTACTAGCTTACCTGCCACGTGTTGCTGTGGCCAACCTTCCCTCCCTCTTTCTCTCCTTCCTTCCTTCCTTTCCTTCCTTCCTTCCTTCCTTCCTTCCTTCCTTCCTTCCTTCCTTCCTTCCTTCCTTCCTTCCTTCCTTTTTGTTCTTTCCTTCTCTCCTTCCTTCTCTTCCCTTTCTTCCCTCTCCCCCTCCCCTTTTCTTTCCCTTCCTCTTCTTCCTTCTCTACCTATTCTTGGACTGCAACTCCCAGTGTACAAAACAGCTCAATTCTTTTTTCTGTTCTCAAAATTCAATTATACCAATGGTAGAGGTAAATATTGGGGTGGGGGGGGATTTAGTGATGTGCATGGAAACTGCCTGAGTTCTCAAGGCCAGTGACTAAATTAAAAGAACGGACTGTACCCTGGAATACAACTGAGAAATGAAAAGCTGAGGCTCTTGACAATGGAACCTTGGGAAGATTTCGTTCACATTATACAGCTATCCTTGAATACCCTGCCCCTTTTTATTTCTTAAAAATAAGATTACAAGCTCCACAGGGACACACTGCCACAGAGAAAAATCTCTCTTTTTTTTCCACTCCAAACATTAGGTGGCACAAGCAGGCTCTGTATGTGAAGGGAAGCAGCGTCCCCCCCTTCCCCTCTCCTAAGCCACTTCACAAAAATATTGTTGAAAGCTTTTATGGTCCAAATCACTGGGGTATTGTGTGGTTTCCGGCTGTATGGCCATGTTCTAGCAGCATTTTCTCATGATGTTTTGTCTGCATCTCTGGCTGGAATCTTCCTCTGAAGATGTCATCCACAGATGCAGAAGAAATGTCAGGAGAAAATGTTGCTAGAACATGACCATACAGCCCAGAAACCACACAACACCCCACTTCATGAACATCAGCATGCACTCAAAAATTCCCTTATGAATCACAGAATCATACAGTTGGAAAAGACCTCATGGGCCATCCATTCCAATCCACTGCCAAGAAGCAGGAAAATCACGCTCAAAGCACCCCTGACAGATGGCCATCCAGCCCCTGCTTAAAAGCCTCCAAAGAAGGAACCTCCACTGCACTCCATGGAAGAGTTCCACTGCTGAATGGCTCTCACAGTTAGGAAGTTCTTCCTAATGTTCAGGTGGAATCTCCTTTCCTGTAGTTTGAAGCCATTGTTCCATGACCTAGTCCCCAGGGCAGAAGAAAACAAGCCTATTCCCTCTTTCCTATTACTTCCCCTCACCTATTTAAACGTGGCCATCTCAGCCTTCTCTTCTGCAGGCTAAACATGCCCAGCTCTTTAAACCACTTCTCATAGGGCTTGTTCTCCAGACCCTTGATAATTTTAGTCGCCCTCCCCTGGACACATTCCAGCTTGTCTACATCTCTTTTCAACTGCTGTGCCCAGAATTGGACACAGTATTTCAGATGTGGTCTGACCAAAGCAGAATAGAGGGGTAGCATGACTTCCCTGGATCTATTTATGTAGGCCAAAATCCCATTGGCTTTTTTGCTGCCACATGACATTGTTGGCTGTTTAACTTGTTGACCACGAGGACTCAAAGATCTTTTTCACACGTACTGCTCTCGAGCCAGGCGTCCCCCATTCTGTATCTTTACATTTTATTTTTTCTGCCTAAATGGAGTATCTTGCATTTGTCACTATTGAACTTCATGTTGTTAGTTTTGGTCCATCTCTCTAATCAGTTAAGATCGTTTTGAATTCTGCTGCTGTCTTCTGGGGTATTGATTATCCCTCCCAATTTGGTGTCATCTGCAAACTTTCTAGTTTATGGAAGCTTCCTAGTTTGAAAACTAAATTGCGGGCTTATTCATCTACCTCACCTGCCTATACTTCTCCATTAAATTGATATACAGGTTAGGTATTACTTATCTGAAATATCTGGGATCAAAAATGTCCCACATTTCAGATTACTTGGGATTTGGGAATTCTTGCACATGCATAATGATATTTCCTGGAGATGAATTTCAAGTCAAACATGAAAACCATTTATGTTTTATATATACCTTATATACATAACCTGAAATCAGTTTTATACACAATATTTTCAATAATTTGTGCATGAAACAAACATTGAACCTCATAAAGCAAAGGTGTCCCTATCTTAGCCCATGTGGAGAATTTTGGAGTTTGGAATCTTTCAGATTTTGGAATTTCAGATATAGCAAGAGATTCTCAACCTGGAACAGGAAAAAAACATATCCATGAAAAATCTCAAATAATCTTGTATGTTAACACTGATAAAAAGAAATTCCTGGTGTCTCCAATGTCATTTTTGTTAAATGCCACCAGAGTGTTCTCTTCTCTTCATTGTGTATATTAGAATAACATTTAATGTGTCTTGGGGTTGTTTTTTTTTTTTAGAGGGGTATGTAATTTTATTCTCTATTTTAATTCCCAATTTTGAAGCATCAAAAACTGGTGATGGTAATGGAGGGTTTACAAAATTGAGTGTCTGTCTAGTTGTATAGTCTTACATTTTAGCTTTCAGTTCATGCTGTGATAATCTCATATGCTAAGTAAAAAGTAATTGGCACATTAATTTGAAGACAGGTATAGAAAGTGCCATTTCAGGCAAATATTATGGACTTGGTTCTCTCAAACAAACTCAGTGGAAAACCTTGTGCCTTCTGCCTTTTAGCCTGTGGTCAGATCTTGGCACAGGATTGTAAACTTGTTTAGACTGCATTTGCCAACATGGGTTGAAAAAAACTTAGTCATCTGCATCATCACAGGTACACATGATGAAGCTGGCCAAAGGTGAAGAACCAGCACTTGTTGGTTTTTCCAATATCCACTAAAAGCCAGATGGTAATATATAAAAGGCTTCAATTCCTCTGGCTCCAACAACAACCCAAAACAGGAAAATATGGCACGCCCCACTTGAATTACACAAACTTTGCCTTTTGAAACACATAATGTCATATGATCCTACATAAGTTATTTAGAAGCATGTTGATGACAAGAAAGAATGTCAAATGTCATGTATATTTTAAAGCTGAAGATCTCCTCTACTGCCACCACTACTTACCTACTCTGTTTAAACTTCCTTTCTGAAAAGCAGCTGCCCTACGTCTTCCCAACTGGACAAAAACAAATACTTTGTTCAACTTTTCTGAAATCATTATTTCCCCTTAGTGTGCTTTTAACTTTATTCTCATCCAAGGGTCCAGCTGCCTGCCTAGACAACTGTTGGGTGCTGTTTCTTTTTATTGCATTTTACTTTATTTTTGATATAACCTAAAATTAACCCCTGAAGGTGCAGCAGGTTAAACTGCTGGGCTGCTGAATTTGCTGACCAAAAGGTTGGCAGTTCGAATCCTGGGAGCGGGATGAGTTCCCACTGTTAGCCCCAGCTTCTGCCAACCTAGCAGTTCGCAAACATGCAAGTGTGAGTAGATAAATAAATACCGCTTCTGTGGGAAGGTAATGACATTATTTATTTACTATTTATTATTTATATAATATATTTGTATACCACTCTTCTCAGCCCTCAGGCGACTCAGAGCGACTCACAATAGCAAAATTAAATGCTTAAAACATCATAAAACAGTTAAAAATAATTAAAACAATAGCATGATAAACAATCAATTAATCTCATTATCGTCGCATAGTTAAAATCAAGATCCAGTGGCATCATCTAATTGTTCCATACTCCTATATTTGTTACACTGCCTATTTAAATGCCTGCTCGAACAACCAGGTCTTCACTTTCTGAAATGCTAACAGGTAGGGGGCCGATAATATTTCTGTAGGAAGGGCATTCCACAGTCGAGGTGTCACCACTGAGAAGGCCCTGTCTTTCATCCCCGCCAGACATACTTGTGACGCAGGCAGGACCGAGAGCAGGGCCTCCCCAGACGATCTTAATATCCTAGCTGGTTCATAGGAGGAGATTCCATGCAATCATACTGGCCACATGACCATGGAGGTGTCTATGAACAACGTCGGCTCTTTGGCTTAGAAACTGAGATGAGCACCACCCCCCAGAGTTGGACACGATTAGACTTAATGTCAGGGGAAACGTTTACCTTTTAATATGCTTTGGCACATACTTCTCAAAAACATTTTTGTGCCACTCATTGTTCCTGACATTCTTCATTTATAACTTCTGAGTTATTTTTTGTTTTCTGTATTTGCACAAGAAATCTGCCCGCTAAAATAAGTATTTTTTCTAACATCTATTGTGCTATTTCTCCTTAATCGTTCCAGTGACATTTTGGATTCTGTGCTTGCTTTCTTACTTCAAAGTATACCATAACCTTCACCATTTCACAGATGACAACTGGGGCATGGTAGCAAACAACATCAGAGTGTGGTCAAGTTAGGAGAGACTGCAGCTTTTACCTGAGGTTATTGGGAAGAGCTAGATTACATCCCCTCTTTCCTTCTCCCTCTGAAACTTAACTTGCTGTAAACTACTTTTTAAGTTTGACTTTAGTTTGCTGCAAGTGAAGTAAGAATGAAGACAATAAGCAAAAATGGGAGGAGGAGAGAGAACTGGGACATCTTAAAAGCAATCAAATGACAGATTAATTGGAACAATCCATGCCAAACTTGGATAGTTGAAGGACATGCTATACAATCTAATAGAGCTTCCATGATTGTGGTTTTTAGTAATTTTCAATTATTTGTACAGATATTACTTCTTGATATTCTTTATCAGCTTCCTTTTGACCTCTAATTTCAGAGGCAAGGCAAAAGCGAGACTGTTGGACTTCCTTGTCAGTTCCCCCACTTAAATAAAATAATTTTGCTAGCAGTATAGTCATCCTTCCAGCTGGTCCATAATTTTGTCACCTTGGCACCAGCTCTTGGAAGCACTTTAGAATTAATTCTAAAGTCACTTCTCTGATCAGTTCCATTGTAAACAATTTTAGTGTTCAGCCATTTAGGGTGTGCCAAAATGTTAGATCTTCATTATGAACGGAGCATGTATTTCTCTAGAGGACTGCTTCTTAAACTGTGAATCCAAACCCCAAATGTGGTCCCCTTAGCTCAGTGTTGGGGTATGGAAAAAACTGGCAACAGTAAAGGTTTTCTGAGCATTGCCTAGTGGCTATTTTACACATTTATATGAATCTGTTGTCAGTGTTGACAATGTCTACAGAAGATGCTTCAGCTGTATTTCCTAAAAAAGGAAAACCGAACTGTTTAGCAAGTCATGCAAATGTTAATTCGTTATCAGAACAGGTTTGAATTTTATACCTATTTTATTTAACTATATACTCAGGGTCATATAAGCATTTTTGGGCTGAAAGGGTCGTGAGTAGAAAAGTTTAGGAAGTCCTGCTCTAGAGTACTTCTTACAATCTGAAGTCACATATCATTGCAGCACTTTCTTATGTAGATGTTGGTCTGATTCCATTCTACACATGAAAGCATTTGCGACCTCTGTGATGTTTCAATCCCATAGAAGATAGACTGAAAACTTCCTAACATCATTGTTACTTAAATTGAACATTTGAAAATATTTGTTACCATCAAACTGGCAAAGCCTTATTGCTACATACTTTCCCACTGACATCAATGTAATGTTTATGTTCTTCCCTGCTTCTTCTGTTGTTGTGTGCCTTCAAATAATTTCCGACCTTATGACAACCCTATGGCAGTCTTATCACAGAGCTTTCTTGGTATAATTTGTTCCAAGGGGTTGTCCTTGCTCTCCTCTGATGCTGAGAGAGATTTGTTTGACCAAGGTCACCAAGCAGGCTTCCATAGCTGAGCAAGGATTTGAACCCTGGTCTCCCAGTATCCTAGTCCAACACACAAACTATTATACCATGCTGGTGCGTCTATACATACAAATCATTCTTACTGAATGTAGCATTCCTTCTGAATTAAAATAACAAATGAGGGAAGAACAATTTTAATCAGCATTGTGGTGAAGGAAGAAAAAGTTAACATATCCTTCTGCGTTGTGATCCTTGTAAGTCTTACAGAAAACAAAGGTTGGCAGGCTGTTAATGAGTTAAAATAGGATATACACTATTATAACCCACTTTTGGGGTTGATGCAAAGGTAGGAATTATCAACTAACTGCAGAATAACCAAAATGCCCCACAAATACACCTTTTACACAGCCAGCTCCACATATGTTGCTGGAGAGCACGGGGGTCAATGTGGACGAATCCAGTTTCTTTTCTGGATTCATGGATGTACTGGAAAGGATGTCTGTTGCAACATATCTAGCTAGGAGAAAACAGTTGGATGCATCTTGTAACACTTACATGATAGTGTTGAGGAGAATAACTATAGTATTGAGACATAGCTATATGCAAGACATATGCTTTCTGATGTAGGATTTAAGCCAGAGATACAAATACCTACAACTCAATGTGGACATAAGAATGATGGAACTCGAGAAGGAGCAACAGATTATAATGAAATATGGGGATGGAATAGCATTGGAAATACTTACATCCTAGAGATGTTGGGAAGATTGGAAAATGCTTCACTGGGAATTGTTCTCAGATGGGTTTCCATAAACCTCCTACAGGAAACAAAGTTCTTCAGTTAATATCCTTTCTAGAGAGTTGAAGACAATTTCACTGCATTGATCAAAATTTTACAAAGCAATGTTTGACAAACCAGAATAAGGAACTAGTAGTCTATTTTTTTTAAAAAAAAATCATACTCAGTAAATATTTTGTTAATGTTAATTTTGTCTTGGACATTTCTCCTTTGAAAAACCTTGTTTTGATTTTAGCAAAATTAGAATCAAAGCATTGCAGAAAAGAAGCCATTTTGATTTTACTTGTTAACGTTTGCCAATTTGACAAGTGCCTAGATGCACACTTTACTAACAAATATAACAGATCCCGCTGGGTCTTTTTTGCCCAGGACAACAAAGAAATGAAAGTAGGAGAAAGGGGTAGGTAATTTCATTACTTCATTATAGGTCTCATAGAGGATGTTTTGAGGAGAAGGAGGGAGCATGAGAATAAGGAACTATATGGGTTTCCCCCCATATATTGCCAATTCTTCAATATCTCTGAGGCAGAAGAATCTCTGTGACACTGAGGCAGAAGAACATATGCATGCATGCAACACTGGAATTAGTTAATCACACAATATCTCTCTTTAATATGATCTCCTGATAAAGTAGACCAAACATCTGAGAAATGTCACAAGGAAAACCTTCTCATCCCTACCTAGAAGTAGATCTAAAAATCCCCTCTCCTTTAATATCAAGAATATCACTAACCTCCCCCTCACACCATAATTTAAATCCTGCTCAGTAGGTATTTTAAAGACTTCATTCCAAGGGCTTTGGGTTTTTCTGGTGGGATTCTGTAGCACTCCATTTCCTTAGTGCATGGAAACGGAGCCCGGAGACCTCTATCAGGGACTTTATCAGACAGTCCAGGGAAAAGTGGGGGAAAACATCTCACCCTGTTCCCCTCTGTCTTTCCCTGTCTTCTGGGATGGCCATCCATTCCACGTCATTTCACCATCTTCTCCCATCTTTTCTCTACTTTACTCTGTCTTGACACCAGACTCCTCATAGAGATCTTCAAGCACTTAGGAAATGGAGCACCACGGAGTCCCACTGGATGTGCCCTTACATTGTCTGATTACTTCCGTGAGACTCCTGTGGGTCTCTGTTTCCCAAGCATACTTTTGAATTTCTATTTTCCTTTTCTTTGTTTTCTTTGCAATTATAACACATTATGAAATGTTCAATGTAAACGGACAGATAGGGAGAGTTTTCCTTCAAATATCTGATACCTATGAATCTTTCTACTTATTACAGTTTATGAACAAAAATGTTCCTTCATGAAGATTCCATGGAAACAATCCCACCCTCTTGAAATATACCCTTCTCTTCCACAAACATCATTATCCCATCATCCTAATTAGTGCAGGTTTATGTAGCAAGCTTGCAAAATGAATAGTGACTTATTTGTGCGTGTTTTTCTCCCTAAATGTTTAAATATTGCAGAACTGCATAAAATTTATTAAAGCTACAACTCTACACAAACACAGTCTTGAAGTACGGCACAGTCTGTAACACCCATAGTAACATACCATACATTCAGAAACACATTTGCCAAGAAAATCATTGGGATTATTTCTCTTTAGGAAATAAAGGTAGAGGCTAGCAAAACTGAGCCATGCCTTCTGTGCAGAACTCTATTTAAAAAAATCTTCATGAGCTATTGCTTGTTCAAAATGCAGCAGACACTGTTGCCTAGTGTGTGATTATGAGACAGTATAATGCTGATCATACAAGAATTACACTGGCTTCCAGTTTATTTTCGAGTTCAATTTAAGGTGCTGATTTTGAACTACAATGCTCAAAATGACTTTGAACCATATCAGATTATATCCTCCAATATAACCCTAACTGATATTTGAGATACTCATTGGATGCTTTGTTACATGAACTTCACCTGTGAAACTAGTGGCTTGTCTACCTAGGCTGAATAGTTGCTGTGTAGTTGCCACTGGCTATCCCCATGATATTCTGGAACTTCTGGTCCTTATTGTGAAGGTAAACCAGGTTAACTGGTTCAGCCCCATGTTAAGGAAATTTCAAAGCTATTCCAGAGTTTGGGCACAGTTGGGACAGTAGGATTGGGTCCAATATGAACTGCTCCGCTGTCAACATGGGCTGCCATCACCATTTCCCTTTTCTGCATTGATCTGCTCAGGGCAAAGGGAACAAATCAGGGCCATTGCCACTACTGCTGCCTGACAGACACAGATCTCCTTGAGGGCTCCTGAATATCATGGGCACCTCATATTGACATCAGAAAATATGTTCATGCAGTCAGAAAGAAGGAGGGGGGCTTGTCCACATGGGATGCTTGCAATGGCTAAAAGCTCTAATCTGGCAGTGGTAATTGTAAAGTGATGATCCAACAGGGCCAAGGAATTCTTGGCCTGGCTAGATCATCTGGACTCCACCTCCCCACCACCATGGAATGGGAATGAAATATATGGATGCCTCCAGGGCCAATCTAGAGCATTACTGCTCCAGATAGGTTATGGATTAAGGAGTCAGTACAAATGAGCCCTAGGTTGGATAAGTGACTTGACAAGACTTTCTCTATAGCACTTTAAATGTTTTTGTACATTGTGCATTGATGAATTGATAAGGAATAGATAAATGCATAAATAAATAAATAAATGAAGTTCTGACTAGATATGCTTGGAATTGCAATATAAAGGTCCCTGTACATATTTGAGCAGATAATTATGCCAGATGATTGTCTTCGGAATAAACTGAGCATGCATGCAATTAGACTTTACTTCCCTGTTTCAAGACAAATATTTTTCTTCCTACTCATATTCTTTTCAAAATACACTCTCACTTGAAATTTTTAAGTTTGCTTCAAGATCATACCATATTTATCAACCCAGCCTCAAATTACTGTAGCTATTTGGATCTCATCTCATTCCAAACTCCACTGCCAGTTCATGCACGTGCCTTCAAGTTGCATATTGACTTATAATGATCCATTAATTGGATGGACTTTGTGATTTCTTTGAAATCTTTGATTCTAAATCAAGACAGTTGGAGGGCATAGAAATCTGTTTATCCATATCCTATAGCCTAAACCTCAACTATTGAAACACTATGTTATAAAGAGAAAGAAGCCCTCGGTGGCGCAGTGGGTTAAAGCACTGAGCTGCTGAGCTTGTTGATCGAAAGGTCGCAGGTTCAATTCCGGGGAGCGGCGTGAGCTTCCGCTGTCAGCCCTAGCTTCTGCCAACCTAGCAGTTCGAAAACATGCAAATGTGAGTAGATCAATAGGTACCGCTCCGGCGGGAAGGTAACGGCGCTCCATGCAGTCATGCTGGCCACATGACCTTGGAGTCTTAAATGCAAAGGCAGAGTTTCCAAAGTCCAAAGGCAAATAACATGAAGCATTATCCATAAGCATTGATCAAACAAGATTCCACGGCAGCATGACAGAGTCCCCAGAAGCCAAGATCCAAATCAAAGTCCCAAGAAGCCAAAGCATTGCCCAAAAGCCCTGGAATCCAAAGAAGTTATCAGGGTGTTTGCTGAAGTTGCACTGACAAAAGGTTGCCTTCAATCAGCTCACTAAATATACTTTCCCAGCATGAAAGCATTCCTCTGACCTCTAACCTCTCTCTTGTTTGCAACCCTGAATTGCAAGCCATCCACCCTATCTAAATCTGCAGAGCCTTCAAGGTCGAATAACTCATTATCCTGGAGCTGGGAATCAGCAGCCTGAGAATCAGCAGGCAGAGAGCTCACAGAAACATCTTCTAAGATAGCATCCCTTCCCATGGGAAACTGGAACTCCTCATCTTCAGCATCAACATCGTCTGTATCAACAATAGGAACATGTTCAGGAATCTGAAACCCATCATCCTCTTCCTGCTCTTCCCGAGGCTCTAGCTGAGCCACAACAGATACCAACTTCTCTTGAGAAAATTCCCCGTGAGTGCTATGTGCCTTGTAACCTTACTTTCTGGATAACCTTCGTATATGGGTGTATGCATGTGTGCACTGTCAAACTTCCTATCGATTAGTGACAGCTCCATGAATTTCAATAGCATAAATAGAAGTGATTTTGCCAGTTCCTTCCTCTGAAATACAGCACACAACACCTACTATTCATTGGTGGTCTCCCACCTTAGTTCTAAACAAGGCAGATCTTGCTTTGTTTTCAGAATTAGATGGGATACGATAACTTTGGGTTATCTAGCAACTCTACTATCCTATATTCTCTCCCAGCACATTTTTATTTCTTTTCTTATACTGAAATAGATTAATGTGACTATCTCTTTGAGAATGGTGGGGAAATAACCAAATTAAAGTTGGACCAAGGGAAATGAAATGTTGAACAGCACTCTCTTTTGTATTTTGAGATGAACATGAAATCCAGATGGAAAGTTTATTAAAACTAGGCTTTATCTAATAGCATTTTTATTAAATTATTCCTCTCTTCCACTAGCTTTAGAGGACATCAAGAGTGGTTACAGCCAAGAACCTGATTCAAATAAAGCAGCCAATGTAGGTTAAGGTCAACATTCAATTATCTGCAACAATTGGATTTTACCTGGTATAGGGAAAGCAGTACAAGAGTCGAGCAAATGAAAATGGAATTGGAAAAAAGCAAAAGCACACTGGCAAATGAAAATGGATCAGAACAGAGTAAATCTGATAGAAGTCTAGATGGGTTTGAAAGAATGGAGAAGTAGAGAATCGTCAAACCAAGAAAAGAAGTACCAAGAAAAAGAAGAGAACTTAAACATGAACATACTGCTAATTGTAATAATGGGTGGACATCAACTTTGGCAGTCAATATGACAGCTAAAATCTAGTGGAAGCCAAAGATAAGTGGAGGGAGAGCTAGGACTAACTCTGATTATCATTTTGAACTGAGGCTAAAATGAAATATTCCCAGGGAGGGGAAGATAAACCAGAAAGCGTTTTTCTATTGGCATCAAAAAACCAAAGCAAAACAGGGTTTATGAAATGGAAGAGTTTTCCACAGCTGGGATGGCATG